TAAATCAGGTAATGAATATAAAAAAAAATGTATAAGTACAATTAGGGCCATAACAAAAAGTTCTACATATCTGAAACAGTTCTCTTTGCAGTTCAAAGTACAAGAAAGAAGCTCCTACTGAGAGCATCTCACAAAATTCACTTCACCAAGCATCATTAATTCTGCAACTGGCGTTGTGTGCTGTGATCAGATGAGACCAAAATTAAAATTTTTGGTCATGCATCCTCAGCATGTTTGGTGACAAAGGAAATGCATACAAGGAAAAGGACCTGATACCCACTGTAAAATGTTGTGATGGATCACTGATACTGTTTTGTGGCTGGTGGAACAAGGGATCTTGGGAAGGCTGATATCAGCCCCAAACCTGTTTGCCTCTGCCAGGAGGTCCATACTTGGCCATAGATAGAGCTTAGAACAAGATAATAAGTCAAATATACTTCCCAATTGTTACAGAAACACAAAATCAGTGTTTTGCAATGACCAAAAATCAGTTTCCGTATTCAAACTCTACTGAAAACCTGTGTTCTGAAATGAAGAAGGAAGTCCATATGTACTGCTTGACTGTTACAATCAAAGGGTTTTGATGTGCTTGTGTCTGTCTCACCTGTAGCTTCCACCATGCCCTCCAGAATAACAACAATCTCAAAGTCTTCCTTCTCCAGCTGTGCCTGGGACATGTCCCAGAACGGCGAGCGTGAGTCGATCTCATGAGAAATGACCAACGGAGACACCAGGAACAAGCGGTCATCCCCTGTCTCAAAGCCCACACTGATATCTGTCTGATCCAGAGGAATAAATTCACCTAGAAAGGGAAAAAAAGGATAAGATACAAAAATATAAGTTTTACTTAGGAAATTTGGTTCAGTTTGGTTAAAAATCAGATTATTACTAGATTATAACAGACTGTGCAATAACATACTGTATGTTGTCCATATCAAATTGTGCAACAAAGATTCTCTAACGATAGATATGTGATTAAACAAAATGAAAAGAAACATTCTTCAAGTTTAGCTTGAGGTAATAAGATTTTTTTTGTCTATTAGCGTGTTTCATTTATGTCTCAGCATTGCCACTAGCTTTGTAGGTGTCCTGTGAGAGAATTTTATAATTCTATGCCGTCCTCCTATTGGTGGCATTGATAGACGTGTCATAACAGCGGTCAGGCATTGAGCTTCGTCGTTGACTGTCTTTGGTCACAATGGTACAAAATCTTCCACCTGACGTTGAGCACCTCACATTATCCGCTCTACGATTGCCAATCTCAACTCACGACTGAAGAATTCTTTTACAATGTATGATTGTTATCTGTGACAATCAGGCCCCAGGTCAGAAAGTGATAACTCATAAAGTGCAAACACTAACTTTAACATTATGTTTTAGAAATTTGCCACGGACCTCCTTTTTCTTTACTTGCGCCTGTGATCCGCCATGTGAGTGTATGGAGTTCAGTTGGGTACTACCATCCCTTGTCTCACTTTGCAAAAAATGCTAACAGCAAAAGGATGTACAAGGGGTATGGTATCATCTTTACACTTGTTGTTTTTGGAAGCTTCCTATAAACAACTACCAATATTGGACATTGATATAGAGATGTATATGGGGCATGTACAGAACCCAATAATGGCATTTTTGGGATGCAATATGGTCTAATCTCGAACCCTAACCACCAACTAATTAATTACAAAATGGTTCACAGGATGTATCTCACACCCAGGAAACGTTTTTTTTAAATGAAACTTTCCCTGTCTCCTAATTGTAATCTATGTTCTGGAGGCTCCATAGGTAGTTATAGACACACGTTCTGGGATTGCCCTGATGTAAATAAGTTTTGGGTACAGGTATCTATGACTTTAAAGGACATTCTTGAGATTGATATACCATGCTGTCCTAAACCTTTGCTTCTAATCGACAACTCATCTTTCAGTTTTTCACTGGCTCAGAAAAAAACTGCAATTCTCTGGATTGACTGCAGCTAAGAAAATGCTTGCCTTACAACTGGCAACCACCACACTCTCTAGCCTGGTAACAATGGATGTACTCTTTCTTATACATCGTGAACATGGAATTACCGGGGGCACGAATTCATGGAGCCACTCAAAAAACTTTCTCAGCATGGTAAAGGGCAATCTGTAAAATTAAGGAGCTGCTGTGATTGATTTGATTGTTTTTACATGTTGTACATGTAATTGATTGTTAGATTATTTTTTGTTCTTCTTAAATTGTCATATTATTGAATGGTTGTGATATTATCTTACTGTATGTATTGTCAGTAACTGTACCTTAAGGTGTTATAGGGGGGAGTGTAATTTAACATTGTCTGCAGTCTTGAATAAAAATTTGATCAAAAAAATATATAATTTTTTAGGAGCATTAGTATTAGTATTTATAATAAGCATGGCATCACAATAATTTTTAAATTTGACTTTTAAAGACCTTTTTTTGTTTTACATACTGGAGTTTTAAATAGTGTATTTCTGAATATGAAAGATGAACTGAGTTCAATTTTGATTTAACTCATAACAGAATAACACAACAGTACTTATTAGTAGACTTATTAGTATTCCATTAATAACATGACCATTTGGGTTTTCTGACATTAAATATCTCTAACATTTTTGCAGGATTTTGAATGTGCAACACAGCAGTCGTGCTCTTGTTTCAAAATGCAAATTTAACCACTGCGGCTCTTGATTACTCTTGACGCAGGATTTTTCACTTGTCCACCACCAGATGGCACCGCTGTATTCATCCCTAATTTTGCTGACGTTGAGCACTTTGATTTCCATATTTTGTAGTCTTGATGATTTGAGAAGCTCCAGCTGGAGTCTCACCCTCTTGGGTCTGTTTGGATTTGATGAGCTTTGCTCTCATGTTGGCTCCCACGATGTGTGAGGATCTCAGATCCCCGACTCGGAACATCAGACACAGCTTATCGTCCCGCAGAGAGATGACTGCGTTCCGGGAGAACACCAGTGTCTCTGCCCGCTTGTTTGGCTGAGAGATCTTCACAAACATACAGCCAACCTGAGAAAGATGGAAAGTAGAAGTAGAATAAGATTATCAGGTAACAACTGAACAATGCAACAATGGAATTGTGTCAAAAGCAGATTTCCCCAGTGAGATCCATTCCCAAAACAGGAAATTAAAAGCTGCCAAAATGAGACATAAATATCAACTTTTTGGTTATATCAGTGTATTCACTTATAAAAGTGACATTGTTTTACATGTCGCTGCAAAAGCTGAAAAACAGTTTCATATTGAGTATGAAGTACAAGTCCTGGATTGAAGATCTTTGTACCATATTTCAGATAAGTGTGCATTTGCCAATCAACCTGTTTTTTAATACAGAAAATTACAGAGGTACAGGGCTTTCCAGAATTACTGGCACCCTCCATAAAAATGAGAGCAGTATTTCATATATATATATATATGTGTGTGTGTGTGTGTGTGTGTGTTAAAATAATGTTTTAAATAAATACAAACAAATTATCATTCTGTAATTTTAATGCAAGGTCCTCATATGCAAAGTAAGACAAATGTGTGTGTGTGTGTGTGTGTGTGTGTGTGTGTGTGTGTGTGTGTGTGTGTGTATATACACACGTGTGTCCCCAAAATATATGGGTGAAACACTGCCTGAGGATGAGACATTAAATTAGGACACTCAGAAAAAAGACAAATGAACTCACACACACAGACACACACAAAACTCTTGAGTCCTCATTACCAACACCATCTTGTTACAATACTAACTTAAAGTCAGTTTTAGAGAAGTAATTAGTGTGATGGAGGACAAAAGTAAATTAACTTCTCAGGGAATGAAACACAACGAGGCAAGGATAGTGAAATCAGGTGAGATGTAAACAGAGAGAGGAAGAGAGGAAGAGTGAGCAACATCCACTCTTTAAAAAGCATGACTCATTTGGCTCTGTCGGAAATTACACACACACACACACACACACATACACACTTTGGAGGAGCTGCAGAGGAACAAGTACTGAGTGCAATGAAAGCCAGAATCCATTTTCACAAAACCCAATTGCATGTGAAAGATTCTGCAGCTGCAAAGTGCCTCAAATTTGGAGAAAATCATGAGAGAAAGATAGGTAGAGCAAAGAAAAAAGAGAGATGTACAGGACCCATGAGGTCAAAATTAATAGTACTCCTGAGTACTAATTTTAAACTTTAAAAATGTGTTCAATGTTTTTAATGCCCAAGAAACCACTCATGCGTGATATGCTTGTAAGAAATGGTGTAATGGTCAAACAATGCTATTAGCTATGGCCAATCCTAAATGTCTGAACCTCGCTGAAACAGAGTTTGAAAGGTTTCAAGACTAAGAAACTGTTCGGACTGTAACTGTATTTGTTAACGTGCATTTGCTAATGTTTGCTGGGGTTACACAGCTGTACTGTACTTTGTAATTTATTTTCAGGCAGCATTTCATCAGACTCTGGATTTGCGCTGTCATACTGTAACCGATTAATATCACTAACCAACAGTTCTATTCCAGGTAAAATTATATAATAATTTGCATATTGGATATATATCTATATCAGCGGTTCTCAAGTTCAGTGACGTGATCTTGGCTTTTGTATCAAATCCTGTTTTGGCTTATCTAATCACATTTACATTTATGTAAATTATTTACCTAAAGGCAGCTCATTGGACCAGAGGCTAGCTACAGAGCTAGAGACTTTAGGGCAGGAAGGATGTTTTCACACATACAGTTTTCTCCTCTCTGGTCTGATTAGAGACATGGCAACATGGTTTATTTAAATAAAAAAAAAAAAAAGTAGTATATGTTTATTCTCCCTGTGCCAAATTCCTGAAAGGATATCTCAACTGTGAGAAATGTAATTATATTACCTCAAACCTTCAAAACCTTTTTTTAACAGACGGAATCTTTTTTATCTGACAAAATACATACCTCATACAATACAAATAGAGACCTCCTGTGCACACATTATGATTTAATGAGCTTAGTATCTTGTGGCTACAGGTCCTTAGAGGACTAGCGGTTAGGCCACAGCGCTCTCACCGCTGCGGCCCGGGTTCAAATTCCCAGCCAGGGAACCAACCCCAGCCACTGGGGTTACACACGACAGTGCACTCCCAGTGCCAGTCCCAAGCCCAGATAAAATTGGAGAGAGCTGCATCAGAAAGTGCATCTGGCGTAAAAAGAACGGAGCCAAATCAAATATGCGGACCAATGATTCGGCAACCCCTAATGGAAGCAGCCGAAAGAAGAAGAAGAACAACAGTATCATGTGGCTACACAATTAACTGTTGATATAAACAATAATAATAATAAAATGCAAAATAATAGGATGTACTGGATCAAGTGCTATTTTATCAACTGCTGAATAATGAGGGTAGAATCCATATTGTTAAATTAAACCAAATTGGCAGTGATTATTATATTAATAACAGCTAGGACTATACATGCAGCAATATACTGGCAATATATTAGACTCCTATTAAATGTTTATTTCAATGCTTGCCACCTTCTTATTCATATATCACGTTAGTCTTTTTTTCATGTTTAATTTTCTATTGCTTTTAGGCTACGTTATATCTGATAGCAAAGGAAAAAATTCTTTTTTAGTCCATATTTTCTACCCCCTAATATTTTTTCAAGCTTAAAGGCAAGTACTTGTGTTTAAAGATGGTGGTCTACTGAAAAACACTAAAAAATCTGGCAGCCTCATAAGTACTGATTTGCAACCTCAGAAGCAGCTGACTTGCATAACCTGAAGGGGGAAGCCAGAAAAATGACTTAAGCATGTGTGTAACCAGACTCTGAATACAAGTTACTTTGTCAGCATAAACACTGGCATAACCTTTGGACTTAATTCAACTCTGACTCTGAATACAGCCCTTAGTGCATACCTAGTTGATTTATAAGTAGTGTCAAAAGTAATACATGTTGATTTTTTTGGCCCAAAACATAGGTTGTCACATCTGATAGGCATTGTTAAATGTATTGTTATGTTCTCTGTTTATATACATATGTCAGAGGAATAGCCTGCTTGTGTGGTCAAAATGTGACCAAGAGTGTGGGTGTGTTCCTACCATAAAAGCATTGACCATCGAGCCCAGTATGGCTTGCAAAAGCAGAAGCATGGTGCCCACAGGACACTGGTCAGTGATGACACGATGGCCATATCCGATGGTGGTCTCTGTCTCGATGGAGAAAAGGAAAGCGGAGATAAAACCATTAACATTATTCACACATGGAGTCCACGTCTCATCCTCCAAATGATCCAGATCTCCCCTAAAAAGAGAAGAGACAGAAAGACAGAGGGACAGATAGAAGATTTGCTTTTTTTTTTTTTTAAACCATTGTTGTAGTGCTCTCTAGAGCTGTGGAAAACAAATATTCTGAGATACTGAAACAAGTATACTGAAATAGGAGCCATGGGGAAACATTAAACAAGATACTATGGATGCAAGAAGTAAATTCACTGACTACAAAATTGTGCACAGCATTTACTGCTGGGGCTGATTTCTTTCTAGCCCAGACTGTAGATTCATGCAGCCTATCAATGACATGTCAGTAAGCTAAGTATTGTTTTTGGTTTGAACAATTGAGTTAAAACTTTTCTGTTTACAATGTTTGGTGTCCAGAGGAGACATGACAGGAAGCCAGTAGAGCATTACAGACTTGAAGCACTTACATAAAATTAGAAATCATGACTGCAGCTGCCTATCTGTCTTTATGTGGGTGTATAATAGTTTGTTCCAGATCATCCTCATTACGAGACCTTTGATACAACCTCACTTTTAAATACTAATAGTTTCATTGCTGAGCTATAGACAGATATTAGATTTTAGCACTCGATATCATGACCATTCATTACTGGGTTAACACAAGATAATAAATGTAAAACAGAAATAAACATGCCATGTTTTTACATGCCATTTGGAAATGTACACTTACCTTTTGGAGAGTTGTGTCTCCTTGGAGACAAGTCTCTGGTGTTACCAGGAGTCACTAAAGCAGAGCCTGGCCTAACTCTTTCATGATTTATTGCAGCAAACAGACTAATTTTATTTAAGTGATAGAGTCCACATAGACTACAGTTTACTGAGTGGCTTAGGCTTATAATTGAAAAAGCCTCAATGAAAGGATGATAGCCAACATAAATAGGTCCCGAGGGAAAATTAACCAGGCTTTGAATAAATATCTTATTATTAGAGATATGTCCTAACCCTAGGTGGACCTCTTTGTTGTGCCCATGACAGACAGGTGGGGTTTTTAGTAGGGATGGGCCTTCTGACTTATTTGATTATTTGGATGTCCATTAATGATGTCAGTTAACTGCTAGAAGAGTGGGGAAAGTGGTAAAACTGACAAATTAGTGGTTAATTTATGGATGATTATTTTCATTTTATCATACCCTGTTATGTTATTGGTTGTATGATGTTATTTGGAAACAGAGAACTAATCACATTTAAATAATAAAATACTGAAATAAATAATTACTTTATTTAATAAGAGACTTTGATCCTAGAATGCAGTGGTGAAATCTAGATTTAGTCAGAAAGGTTAAGAGCAAGAGAGAGAGAGAGAGAGAATGTGGGAGTTTGCTGTTTTTATGTTCTCTAGTACCCGCCCACTCAGATGACTGCAGGTTAATCTCAGGTGGGTTTGTGTGTATGCCTGTATTTGTGTACATTTGAGTCAGTACCTGGAACAGTTCCTGAGGTATATAATCCTTTAAAATATGAATGTTTTCACAATCTTTCTTTTTTAAATCATTCCGATATCAAAGATTTTTAGGTAACGACCATAACGCCCGTTCTCTGATAGCATGAGTGAGGCATCTCACAGCGGGGTACTCCTCTCTGCGTAGTCCTCAGAAGCCCTTATTTCAATACGCCAGCCATGACGTATGTGTCAAGGAGGCCCAATGTATACCGTCACAATCTGGAATGTCCACACCTCTGTCCAGGCAAAAAAATAGTCTGCATGCCACATCATTCATTCACCCCTGCACTTAACATAATGTGACCATGATGGGTGCAGTCACATCCAGTCTGTAGAATCTTACAAAAATGTGTGACAAGGCCTAATTCATCACTCCACAAATGTTCCCAGTAGAAATGCCCCAAAACATGGCCAAAGATGTTGCTATTCCTCCAGTAGAGTGCACACAAAAACCTGCTGTGGGTGTATTAAAGACCTTCAGAGTAAAAGCCAGGTTAGGTTTTAGAGTAACTCTGGTATCCCATGGTGCAAATCGAGCGCATGATGGGCGCACCGAAAGTGTATGAATGTCACTAATTCGCTTAGCTGAGGCTATTGCCAATAACCATGATGTCTTAAGTACCAGCGTTTTGATATCTACCTCCTGAAGTGGTTCAAATGGAGGACATGACAGAGCATCCAAAACCAATGGTAAGTCCCAAGAGGGAGCCAGCGGTTTGGATACAGGATGGAGACAGTGCGCTCCCTATATAAAACACCATACTAGGGGATGGTGGCCTACTGTCCAATCTCCAAATCCCACATGGCAAAGGGAAATTCAACTACACTTGAATGATGGAAAACCCCTTGTCCATCTCAAGGAGGCTCTGTAGAAATGGCAAAATCACTGGGACAGAACACTGAAAAGGCACCACCTGTGATTTTTCACAAAATTCCTCGAACACTCTCCATTTATTTCCATAGAGCAGGGGTGTCCAGTCTTATCCGGAAAGGGCAGGTGTGGTGCAGGTTTTCATTCCAACCAAGCAGAGGCCATACCTGAGTCTACTGAAAGCCAAGATCAACTGATTAAACAGGTGGAATCAGGTGTGGCAGTTTCCATTCCCCATAACAAGCGCCATCACTCGATAATAGGTCTGTGCCTCGAATTTAAAATCTCAAGCACATGAGTTGCCTTCAGAGATAGAAAGTGCACTCTGCTCCACACTGTCAGTTTGTGTGCAAGCATGTGCAGGTGACAGGACTGCATGCCTCCTTGGCAGTTGACAAGAATGTGATGCCCTCTCAAGAAGGGTACAAGGACGGAAAATGCTTTAGAGCTAATAATTTACGTTAGAGTCCTAAACGTGTGAATCCCAGAGGCAGGTGAGAAAGAAAGTTTTCCACCATGTCCACACAATCCAACACAGAACCCCTGTGGATGGAGTTTTGGGCAGAAAAAACATTTGCTCCACGTGTGGGTCATTTCCTCTTTGCAGCACAGGAAGACAGACAGAAGTTGTCTTGCTGCACGTTTGGCTTTGGGTAGCCACTTCCTTTCATAGCAAGAACTGGTGGTCTCTCTGAGTGCAATAGGCCAGGTAAAAGGTGTCAGCTAGGGGGTCGGTTTCGTCAAGCTGATCTCCCTAGCTTTGAACAGTTGTAAGCTCTCCAACATCCTCACCCACCACCGAAGGACCTGCCATGGCTCCCAGCTATGGGTCTTGGTCCACCAAACTAGTATGGCGTGCTAGTTTGCATCAGAGGCTCTCCAGGGAGAGTCATGCGCAATGCTCACAAAAGTTTGCCAAGGTTAAACCCAACAGGGCATGTTGCAGCCCAAGACACAAAGCACATCTGGTGTGAGTGTCCGTTCCTGAAATCTTGTTGCCACATGGACACCCTCAAGGGAGGAAGCTTTCCATCTCCCTGGTGTGGGATGGATCTGCATCTGCCAAAGAGAAAAAGGTTTTTGAAAAACTTTCATTCGGTAGGCAGTTGGAGACGAGCGAGCAAGGCCAAGGGCAAGCTGCCGCTAGGTTGCTCACTAATTCAAGGTCATTCATCAACGCTGAGTGAGTCCACTGTTTGGAGGCAGCCAAACTCTGTATTCCTCAAAAATGGCCTTTTCTATGGTGAAAAAAGGCTCGGCAAGGCCTAGATAGGTTAGTGCCTGGTGGTCAAGTTGTTAGCTTGAGCTGTAGCCTGTGTAACCAAGCCCCCAAGGTAGCCTACTCAAGGTAGAGCATACTGACTAAAGCGAGAAGAGGTATTTGAATGACGAGGTGATGGTGCGCCAGCCCTTAAATACTGCAGAGGAGCATCTCCTCCTCAAACCAATACATGTATTGAAATAAGGGCTTCTGAGGACTACGCAGAAAGG